GGGGGGGGGGGGGGGGGGGGGACGGGAGTGATTGAAACCTATTGTGGTCAGATTGTAACCATATTAGAGTATATCAAACACGTTTTCTTTTGATGCTTGTGATGTTACTCTGAGTGTATACGGGCAGGCTTGAAAAATATGCCTGGCCACGGTGGGAATTGAACCTACGACCCATGGAATACCAGCCGAAATGCAATGATTTGCCAACAGAGCTACGCGGTCAGGTCGGTTCGAGTATGTGATATTTCGGAACCGAGTCTAGTTCCTTCGATATCAATGTAATCTATAGTATTTAAATCATAAGGTGAATATGATGCTTGTGATGTTAATACTCTGAGTGTATATCCGTACCGGGCAGGCTTGAAAAATATGTCTGGCCACGGTGGGAATCGAACCTACGACCTTTGGAATACTAGCTCAATGCTCTGCCAACTGGCTATTAAACTTTTTTCTTTACTCGGCAAAAAGCAAAGGGGGGGGGGGGGCATGACACTGGAGGTTAGAGATGCGGTTCAATTTGCGATTTTGCGTGCACCTAATTACGTTTATAAATGTATTTGCATGATTTGTAAAACATGCATGAAATTAACGAAAACTGAAGTACCTGATATTTAGCTGAGAATGTCAACCGTGATAAAGAACTACAAAGAACGTGGGAATAGAGTCTAGACGTTTCCAGAGACATTGCTTTGTACGCAAGTCACTAAGCTAAGGCTTATGTATGAAGCAACATTAATTGGATTCTTACTTGATTATATCAGAAATAATCGGATGTTGGCGAAACCACGACAGATAATAGTGATAGTCTCACATGCAATAGTTTATCTAAGTAGCTCAGTGATTCAACGATAAGAGGTTTGAAAACTTGTGAGCTGAAAGCTGATATAAAAGTTTCGAGGCAATATACAAGTTTGCTAACGTTGTTGCTATTTACATTGTTGTAGCCAGTTCACAACTTTAAATAACCCACCTGGCCTGGTTACCATTGTTCTAACCGTGTTCTAATTTACAGAAGCATAAAATGGAACAACGGTATCTAAATATTAGAATTCAATATGTGAAAGAGATATTCTCTTATGTAGATAATTCTAAAGCTTAGTTACTATTGTTCTATTTTATACTTTTGTAAACAAGAACAATAAGTTGTGAATTGAGTCGCAACAAACGTCAGCCAAATTTGCCCATGCACGGTAAAGACCCTGGGTTACGAGCTGGGTTGTGCATAGTATTGAAAACACTCGTGAAGTCGAGAAATATTTATTCAGTAAAATCTTATTCACAACTGTAAAAGATAATTGCAAAGACAGACACAATGCTAAATATACATAGATTTTATATACTTTAAAATATCTTTGCATAAAATCCAATATGTTCTCATATCAACCATTCACGCTTGGATACACAACTATACAGGGTAAAAGAATGGGAACCATACTTTCAGTTAACTTTAATTCAGCAAAGGGCAAAATATAAAGGCTTCCATTGCACCAAGTTCTCACATATAAGGAGTCTTTATTTGGACGTCAGTTATAAGCTTCAAGCGAGTTGTCAGATGCCATCCCAAAATTGCTGTTTCATCGTTTGTCAGCGAGTAGGAAGGATTTCGTCAGCCGATCCCCGGTATTTCTCGAAATTATTACCCAAAATATTTCCTCGTTACCATAGGAATGTCGAGAGAAAAACTTCCTGTTTCTATAACATACATTTTGCACGATATCCTTCGTTAAATATTTGGACACCATCCCCAAAACTACTCTCCGAAATGGCTGGAAATTCCATTTGAGGGTTTAAATTTCAAAATCTTCACGCAGAGACGGCGTCAGACCCCTTGGCGAGTTGTACCTTCAGTACCAGCATAGTCTATAGAATAAGGTTAAGAAACACGATACAGACATAATATACTTCATTATCTTGGTTTATGCAAGAAATGGTCGGTTCATTGTCACGTGTGTATTGTTTTTTCGCCCAACCAACCAATAGCAGTGTGTTGATTTAAGCAGCGTTTCTTTTGTAAATCTAGATTTGGATTTTTAGGATTCGGATTTTTTGGATTCGTTAAACAAATGGAACGAATTGTGAGAATCGGAATTCGCCTGCTGTTTTCCCGCCATTTTTACAATAAGTTTTCTGTCCCACTATACCTTTCGGTCGGGTCAAGGTACATGCTAGAAGGCCAGAAGCTCAAAAGGAACGTTGAATCCTAATCAAGATTCAGATTGAATCCGAAAAATCCATATGTTGAGGTGGATTCATCAGATTCGAATCTATTTTAAGATTTCTTTAAATGAAACTGAAAATCGATAATCGGATTTGAAGATCCAAATCCGGATTGCACTAAAGGAACGCACCCTACCCAGTCGTGATATTGCACAATGGTTGAATGAAAACATAGCTATTGGTTGCTATAGCGAAAAGACAATACACACGTGACGATGAATCGACATTTTTTTGCATAAACGAATACAAAAACATAGATAATGCGGTGTATTATGTCTGCATCTAGTTCCCTAACCTTCTATTGTCTATGGTACCACACAACCGCCTATGTCTTTCAAATGCCTCTTACTCAAAATTCTAGCGGGAACCACTCAAATCAGTGAATAGTTTGTTGAGCTATTCTGAACATCATCCAAGCCAAGGCACTCAGATGTGAGAACAATAGCGCGAAGGGAGAACCTGGTTAAGCTAGACTGAATATATACAGCAATTGTCTTATTGGAAATATACAATATTAATAACTGTCCTTTAAAAATCCTCGATGACTTTTCTATTGAGCCATGACGTCATTCCTAGAATACCGATGACGTAATTCTTTGTATGATACTTTCTGACCGTGTTTCTTTCTTTATGAAGTATACTGCAGTGTTCTCGCCATGTTCAACATGGCAACCATTATCTTCATTGGACAAACGTATAAATAACAATGACGTCATATTTCTTGGTTTGATATATGTCATCCGGGATATTGGCACTCTACTTTATCCAATCCTCTTGAGTGCATTTATCCTTTTCATTCAGATAAACCTTTTGGGAAGATTCCTTTAATGATGCCATTCTTTGTCTCAGTGTATTTCCAATGACATCATTCATTGTATATTAATGACGTCACTATCTGCTCCACTAAATGGCGTCGCATTCATACATGCCTAACATACTCGTTTGATGGTTTTGAATATCAATGATAATTACCAATCTGTGGTTAAAATATCAACGATCCAAATATCAATCTTTAGTCCATATATTCATTCTACATTACATCCACAAATAGCTCACAAGGGTTGGCTAAAGCGATTTGAAAACTGCTCCTACTTGCGCCGATGTGATCAGGTACTTGGTCCAGGCGTCCATAATCTCGTACAGTCGGAGGGACAGTAGGTGGGCGTTCTTTGATCGAAGCCCTATCCCCCTTGCTACTCCCACTCCTATCACTGGCACTGCTACCCCCACTGCTTCGAGACTGTGCGTCCAGCTCTTTTTCCCGACTCTTCTGAGACCCACTACTCACACTTCGCGGGCTACCACTTCCCGTCTGAGAGGGGGCTGCGAAGGCGGCGGGGTTGTACGGGTGGAGGTCGGGGAAAGATTGAGGCATTAAATTTTGGTAAGCAGGCCGCCAGCCTGCAGAATACTGAGGTGGGACATTTCCTACCCAATTGTTGGGCTGAGGGAGTGGGGCTAATGTATCTTGGTCACTCCCATCATGCTCCTTGATCGACATAGTGGCCATTTCTAAAACAGATTTGGAAAGAGGTTAATACGATCTATTTCAATACTTCAATTGTTTTGTTTGGGGAACAGGAACACAGAACTCAGGCAAAATTGATAACTTCAGAATGTGGCTGCAAAAATGCATCGTATGTCAGCTTTTGAGAACTAAAGCCCCGGTGAAATCAGGATGAAATTGTCTTGCCATGTAAACTACAGCTAAAGTCTACTTACTGTCGCATAGATCACCAAAGACGTAGTAACATTGTTCAGAGAAGGTGATTTTATTCACAGTATGACGAATATAACCAGCCTAACAAAAGACGGTAGCAATGCATTGTTAGTTTAGTCTTCCTCCTGCAGTAACACTGGGGCAACAAGTGATGGCCTTTACTGGACTTCTAGGAAGAATCATTGACAATAGGTAGAGGAATCCAGTACAAATAGGTTTAGTTTATAGGTTTCCTCCTGTAGTAACACTGGAGCGATAAGTGATGGCCTTTACTGGTGTTGAGAACTGGTAGAGGCATCTAGTGTAAATTATTAATATGGTTAGCTTAGTTTAGGTTTCCACCTGTAATAACACTGGACTGACTGGAGCGATATGGGATAACCTTTACTGGAGTTGAGAACTGGTAAAGGTATCTAGTGTAAATATGGTTAGTTTAGGTATTCTCCTCTAGTAATGCTGGAGCAATAAGGGATGGCTTTTACTGGACCTCTAGGAAGAAAAACGTAGAACTGATAGAGCGAGCTGTCTGGTATAAAGGGATTTAGTTTGGTTAAGTTTCCTCCTGTACTTACATTGAACGAAAAAATACGAGGTGGTTCTTAATGATAAAGCTATCCAGTCAAAATAAAATAAAATAAAATAAAGTAAAGTAAAGTTACTTTAGTTTACCTTCAGGAGACCAGAGGCGTATTTACGAGCCTCTCTTCTGTCGGTGAAGCCCTGGACACGAGTAAATAACCAATCAACAAGGTCTGAGCCAATGAAAGCATTTGGAATGGTGATTTTTAACCACATTCTATCCCGAACGTCCAAGCCGGAATCAGTGCTTGCCAACGCCTTAACGATGAGGCTCATATCACTGTTAACATGAAGTTGTAAGTAGTTGTCCTCGGTGAAACCTGAGAAGAAACATCGTAGTTTAAGGCTATGTTTAGACCATACCGGGCGGATAGCTATTAGCTATCCGTAGCGGCGCGAAAAAGCACCTATCCAATACGGAATGTACAACTTTCAGAGGCTCAGCGAAACAACATCTCTCTGTTGCAATAATTCCTCTGAAGATAGCGTTCCTAAAAAGTACGAATAGGTCTTTTTCACATCGTAGACTAAATATGTACCTTACCAATCAGGCATATCGATTGGTTGGCTGCAGTAAGCCTTATGGTGATCAACTCCAATAGTGTTCACACTTATAAAAAGCAAGCAAATTAGCCTTTCTCACGCTCGGTTTATCCGCCGCATTGGGGCACTGGTTCTCCCTAGCTGAGAGCGTAAACACCGCGAGATGCGAATTCTCATAATTGTCGTCGTGTTTATAATGGTAAGTTCACACTTACAACTTTGTGAACTCGCTTTTCACAATGTTCTAATTGTCCAGATTGTTTGACGAGGGAAGACAGTGGCCCAAAAATGGCGGATAGTGCGGGCCCGCGTGAGAAAGACTAATTGACCTACATCCATCTCTTTTATTTATTTACCACTAATTACAAGATTACTACATGAAATGAAAAGAATTAAAACTATTTCTCATTTTGATAACTGCCTATTGATAACCATCTATAATATTGCACGATAATACTAAGTAGAACCCATCTACAGTTCTGCATTATTACAGGTTGATAATGAAGACTTACGATCAGATTCAGGCAAAGAACTTGTCAAAGATGAACTTGTTGACGTCATAGTTCCTAATGATTGGTTTACCATCCCTTTGGCTTGGTATTCTGTAATAGGAAAGTATACCATATAGTTAAATACAATATTACAGATGTCCAGTACGGAATAAAATGAGCTAGCTCGTCTGCATTTAATATTTAACTCTTAATATCGTACAACTCAATATCGTACATATATGAACGGTGATATTCCAGGCCTATATCCTTGACTACCTATGCAACCTATGGCGACCAGACTAGGACTGTTGAAATCACTGTTTCTATGTCAATCTCTAATTTTGTTTTTAGACTTTAGATATATGTTTGTTTTTAGGTATATTACCTCGCATTGCAGCTAACTGTTGGACCCAGGCTTCCGTGTTGATCGGGCGTACGGGCTCGCCTATTTATTAAACAAGAAATGTGATAGGTTAGTGAAATGAACCAAGAATCGATTAAAAACATACTCTCTATTAAGAATACTTTTAAGTTAAAAGTCGAAGTGCTGTTGTCACAGTGCTAGAGCACGTGTCTTCGATTACCGCAATATATTGTTGTGTGATTATAATTTCACCTCACTGCATACAAGAAGAGGGCTTCGAGCTCGACTCTACCAAACACGAATTCCTCCTACAGCACCAGACAACACGTACACTCTAAAACACTCTGGTTAAAATTCCTAGTTAAATTTTAGAGAGTATGTTTTAGGTTGTAGTAATAAGGGAAGTCCCTTACATAAAACTAGGTAACTGATACAGCTATCTAGTATAAAATTAGTTTAGTTTCTGTTTAGTTCCACACGAAGTTCAACTTACTCTGAGGTAGGGTGAAGTATCCTTGAGGAGAAGGATCCCAGCATTTTGCGACTGTTAATGTGATAGGTCCAGGCTTATGGACCATTTCTCTTAATACTCGAACAGCATCGTCGTTGCTCATATTTTGAAAGTCTACATCGTTCACCTGAAGTAACATATCTCCCGGTTCTATCCGGCCATCCAAGGCTACAGCTCCTCTGGAAAAAGATGATGCATGATTGACAAACACACTAACATCCCTGCTTTAAGGCCCTGTCACACTATTGCGTATGAGAGAAGCGTATGAAAATTAATGAAATAATTTTCATACGCACAAAAATCCTTTGAAATACCAGCGTATGAGTACCGTACATCTGGCGTACCTCTATAGCGTATTCAGCGTGTGACTAGAGTATGCTTATCGTATAAAGCATACGTCCGATACGCACAAAATATTTGAACATGCTTAAAAAAAATGTTCTGCCTCGCCGTATGCCACCGTATGCGACCGTACTTGAAACGTATACAACCTATGCCTAGCGTACCCCTAGCGTATGTCAGCGTATACCGGCGTATGAGTGATATTTTTCATACGCTGGCATACGCTAGTACGATACGCAATAGTGTGACAGGGCCTTAAGTCAGCCTACTGTATATCGACTCGCAACATAAATGTAATGCCCGGTCAAACGAGGGGTTGAGAGTTGATGAGAGTGGCCAGCCACGTATTGTTACAGGAGTTACATTAGGGCCATTTATACGGGACAAAATAAGTCGCGTCTTACATAAGACGCGTCTTATATAAGCTGAGTTATCGCATAAATGGTTCTCTACGGATTTATTCTTATTTACTTGCTATAGCTATAATGTTGTTTCGGTTGTTTTTGTTTGAATATGCAAGGCTAATAATTTTACGTTGTTTCAAGTTTCGGGCATGTGTAGTTAGAATTTTTGTCCAAAATTTCTTATTTAAGACGCGACTTAAATAAGAACAGCTAAAAGTCCTGTTCTTATGTAAGACGCGTCTTATCCAAGACGCGTCTTACATAAGAATTTTGTACCTTTTATACGACAAACTCGCGTCTTATTTAAGTCGCGTCTTATGTAAGTCGCGTCTTATTTTGTCCCGTATAAATGGCCCTATTGTTTACATTGTTATAAACTTAAGGTTTTATGAGTGTTTCGACCATGTTTTAACTTAAGTAGAATATAATCAATATATGATAGTGTTGGGAAAGCATTAATTAAGAACAGCTAACCAAGTTTGCGCGACTGTCAATTATCGATATCATGCACTCTCATCCTCGTTTGATCTCTTTGTATATATGTGGATTGAATGTTCCACGTTGAGTGTGTCCATGTGATTCTGAGTGTCTGGATCCCAATAGCTGCTAGTATACGAGTCTATTTAAATACCACAAGCTAAAATATTACCGTATAGATGTTCAAGAATTTTTTTCATGCGAAAGATGAATTCATGACTTATGCTGTGCTGAGTGGTTATATTACTACCTTGAAAAATAAGCAGAAACTCGACGTTTCGAGCGAAGGCCCTTCGTCAAGAGTTAGTAGCAGCTACTAACTCTTGCTACTAACTCTTGACGAAGGGCCTTCGCTCGAAACGTCGAGTTTCTGCTTATTTTTTAAGGTAGTAATATAACCACTCAGCACAGCATTTTCACTTTGGTATTACCAACACTGGTACAGACAGTTTTAGAATTCATGACTTACCCTTTCATAACAGAACCAACATGAATACCACCATCGCCGCGGCTGCCGCTTTGACCAACAATACTGATGCCCAAGAAATTTGCTTTATCTGTTAAATACATGGACAAGTTATACATCTCACGTTATAGATATACCGCCTGCATTTGGTACGAGAAAAATGGTGAATTGGCTTAGTAGAAGTCTTCTTAACTATAAAGTCCCTCCCAAAACTGTATTAGATTGAATTTCATAGAATGGACAATGCACGACAAATTTTCTTTAAAGTAATTTATCGAGTTTCTCACTAATTGGTGAGCGGATTTTCTAACAGTTATTGCCCAATTGACAGGGAATCCGAAGGTACCTACGATTTAACGTCCTTAACCGAGGTCCGGCCAAGGATTGGTTTGGTAAAGGAGTTTGTTTTGGTCGCTTTCGTCGCGTTGTTGTTTCACATTCTAAAGTTTTTACTATCTTACGCAACGCAGCAGTCATCTCACGAGCTCAATACTAATTCATTATCCATCTTTTCTTACCCATATTTAAGGTGACTGTGATGATATTTAAAGACATCGTGGATTCCGTGATTGTACTAAATGAAGTACACTAAAAGAGAAATATGTGATAATGTCGTGAGAAAATGTTCGTGAACGAGTATAAATATGTCGCAAAACAAAGTTAACTTATTATACAAAACATCAATAACCGAACTATTCAGTTAAATATGACCAAATATTTAGTTTTACGTGATCGACTAGTCAGGTTTAAATGATTAAGTAAACGAAACACACGGAAATATTCCTACTAATACACTTCTCTTTGTTAAATACGCATATATAGACAAGATATGTTAGGTATGCAAAACTAAGTATTTGAATGTGGTTTTATGTTTTATGCGAATACGTTAAAAGCCACCGACGCATTAGACGATGGACATCCAGTCATGGTCCAGTCATCGGAATGTTCCATTGTCTTTTCATTGTTTTGAAAAACTCACTGTTTTCCATGCAATACAGTAATGTAACGATGTTACGAGATTTTGCTTGTTTCCAATTCGAATTCACTTCAACATGGCAAAAATATCTTTATCCTTTGAATCTCTTGCAATTGGTTGCATGCCGTCAGCTATATATAACTTACTCTTTGAACATGTGGCATTCTAGGTCTTCGGCGACGACGCCTGTGCCGGCCATGATACAAACTAGATCCATCTGTTATACTTGAGATTCTATAGAAAGAACAGTTCAGAACTGAATGAGCTATCCAGCATAAAGAAATGTAATTTGGTTTAGCTACACTGGACCAAGAAGAGATGATCCAGACTGGATCTCAAGGAGGAACAGTTTAACAGCGGTAGAACGTCCAAGTATAAACGAAGTTAGTTTGGTTTAGTAACACTGGACCACTATGAGATGGGCTTTACCAGACCTCGAGGGGGAATAGTTTAGAACTGATAGAGCTAGACAGTATAAATAAAGTTAATTCGGTTTAGTTATACCGGACGAATAAGAAACGATCCTTACTGCATGGACCTCTATAGAGCGAACAGTTTAGAACTGATAGAGCTATCCCAGTCTGACAGAACTACTCAGTATAAATGTAGTTACTTAATTTGGTTTAGCCACACAAGACAAATAAGAGATGATCCTTATATTGGATCACTAAGGGGAGAAGTTTAGCACCGATAGAGCTATCCATAAGTTAGTTTGGAACACTGGAGCACCAATACGAGATTACCTTGACAGGATCTCAAAGGAAAACAACCAGTTTGAGTTCCAATAAAGTTTGTGACCCTCTATGACAAAACAATCAATCACAAACCTGCTTCTGCGGTCGTCCTCAGAATCAGCAACACTTGTCGTTTCTAAATCACTGCTAAAGATGGACGATTCTTCACAACTGTCATCCACCGGTGCTTTATATCGGCTACTACTGTTACGGTGTGCTGAAAACATCGATACAAAGGTATATAAGACATTGATTGAAGAATTGGTAGGTAGTAAAATCCATTGAGAAATGTGTAAGCAAACTATACACTTACGTCTAGGTCTGCTGTGTCTGCTTGATTGTCTTGAGCTGATCGATTCCAAGTCAGAATTTTCAGTATCTTTCTCCGGTTTTAATCCCGTACGGCCACTAAATCACAGTAACAACACAATTAATAACATGATCAATTATCATCATTAAAAACGTAAGATTATGAAGCAATTCGATATGATTTACCCATACAGATAATTATAATAGATATCTATTATTTTTATGGATTTCCCCAATGAACACCGGAAAAAATGTCCGACCAACCTCAATGACAGCCCTATTATCCTTGCATAATAATTAATATGGAAATCGCCCGAGGAACATGTAGACTTACTGAAAAGATGGCGGCCTTGAATCCCCAGATCCAGGACCTCTTGTCCGTGGCGCCCCTGTGGAGTCTGGATCCGACAAAACTGACTGTTGATCATGTGGTTCTGAACCAGATTCCGAGAACGTGCGTCCAACATCGCTGGCACTTCCTTCGGATGAGGTCACCAGCTAAAAATAACAATACCATCTTATAGGTGCTGTTCATATGAGCCAGGATGAAATCGTGTCATGAATTTTTTTGTAACCACAAACGATCGTTTGAATGAACCTTAGATTGTTACTGGAATCAAATTAAGCTAATTCAACATTGAAATGTCATTTTGGATGTTTATCAAAGCCGTGATAAGAGCTTTATTAAATGAATCAGCCCGTCAATGCACTTAAAAGCCAGTTTCCATTTCCTCTTGGCTCAGGCACAGAGCTCACTGTTGGCTCAGGTGACGGTCGTGAACTCGTCAAGGTGACTGTTTTAATACAATGTCGATCTACCTCCGCAATCGGCAAAATTTGATTTGCATAGAACGCGCCATCACATTGGTAAACAAGATTCAAAAGAAATGTAAGGAGAACATTTTGTTGGTTTGAGAGTATCATCAGGTTATTATAATAGTTTTGTTTGTGGAAACACCACGTAAATTTATTTATTATTTGCAGTAATAAATTTACGTGGTGTTTCCACAAACAAAATTATTATATGCTTTATCGCCATGCAAACATACAAAGAACTCATCAGGTTATTGTTGGGTTTCAATAAACCATCACGCGGTCCACAGATCGTGTTCAATTTCAGAAACGTCGAAAAGAATGGGAGTATGTAAAAACAATGCAAGACCATTGTAATTTGGTGATCGCTAGATAGTATACTTCAAAATAAGATTTCTGTTTTTATAACGTAGAAAAAACTATCCTAACGCAAAACTAAACCCTCACCCTAATACTAACCCTCACCCTAACCCCAACCTAACCCTAACCTAAACCCCAACCTACCCCTGCCTTATTTTAAAAATTGATATAAAAACGGAAACCTTATTTTGAAGTATACTATCTAGCAATTACCATTGTAATTTAAAGGCTTGTTCAAACGAACGCAAAATTGTTAGCCCAACACCTTCCAACAATTTTCAAATGTTAAAAACTGTTTCTTTGACTAATATTTTAAAGTACAAGTTTTCAATTTGAATAAATCTTATCCTTTTATTCAAAAGATTTGAAAAATATGCGGTAAAACCAAATATTTCAACATGATGTTAGCCAACATTGTTGGCATTTAAACTGGCTTCAATGCGAAGAAATAACATTCATATCTCGGTCTGACAATTAATTAATTTTCATTAAATATTATGAAGTCTCCAGGTCCATTTACAGTTAACATTTACCTAAAACCTAAGATTAAAACATTACATGATAATATCAAAAAGGCTGCTTTGAAGTAAAAAAAAAATTTTTAATGAACCAAGTTATTTGCACTCCTATAATACTGTTCCAGATTGAAACTCCTTGATAGGCGAAAGTTCGTTGACTTGACCTTGAAATACCATTCACGCATAGTACCAAGATGTGGGGGTAACTAAGTATCACACCTGTTACACACTAGAGATTGGTTCCTCGTATAAGCAGATTTATCGCACATGATTGCAGATTATCTAACGAACAATAAGTAGGGCTGGCGCGTTGTGGTTATGATAACAAATTAGTCTCAACAAAGCGTTTAAGACGACAAGGATAGGCGCGAGCATGTTCAACGTGAATTTTCTGCAGGTGCGGAGGATTTCACTAAACACTATATCACATCACAAAAGATGAAATCTCGGCCAAATTTGCATTCACGTAGCTGGGATTCTTTGCTTATTCGGGTTGAAAAGGCAAAAGCTCAATCAGAAATCAGGACCTTTGGCTTTGCGTGGAATATCAAATGTAAAACTATTGCAGCGTGGAATATAAAACTATTCCCGGATCTGAAAGATCTATCTATATAGATATATCTAAATATATGATGGTTGGAATTGTTTTGTCCAAGGCATTTTTGTGATTTGTCAATTTATGGCGTCACCCAAATCTATGAAGATTACCACAAATTTAATCGCTTCCTGAAATCTCTTTGAACAAAGGTGGTTGACTATAATCTACCGTCGTCGTTTTGGCCGAAACTATACATGAAAAAAATATATGACAAACTCGTAGAAAAAACGTTCAAGTTTTCTTCGTCTCACTCAGGCCGATGGGTGATTCCAGCCATAGCCTATAGACTAAATTTTGATCAAGGCAAGAAGAACGAAATATAACATCACAGCTAGAAAGAGCGTCTTAGAATGAGTAAAACGGTAAAGTTTGATTGCTAGATGTTGTAAAATGAAGAAAATAAAGCCCTGTGAAGTTCGCAAATTTTGTATATATTTGTATTACGCGCGGTAAAGGTAACCACTTTCGACTCAAAAATGGTTATTTTTCCCGTGCGCGTAATGTAAATATATACAAAATTTGCGAACTTCACAGGGCTATATTTTCCTCATTTTACAACAATTCGCAACCAAACTTTGCAATTTTACTCATTTTAAGATGCTCTTTCCAGCTATGGTAATGGATTTTGTTCTTCCTGTTTAGATCAAGATTTCGTCTTTTGGCAGTTTTGCTGAAATCATCCATTCTCTGATATATATACACTCACGGAAAGCCACATATGTTTAAGTAGTTTATATTGCACGATAAGATTGTATACTCGTGGTAACAAATCCCCATTATCTTTGAACATTCTTTTATATCTGAATCACATATTCGAACAAAACTAATTACATTTTCTACGACCTCAAAACTCCACCCCATTCCGGTTGTAAATTGCATTGCGTCAAAGCAAAGTCTACACGATATCAAGAGCCAATTGCCGCGCAAATGAACCGCAACTACGAGAACAAATAAAATGTTTACTGTCCCAAGCGAAACTTGGCCAACTTTTTAATTAAATTTAATTTGGAAAATGAACATACATGCCAAGACTGTCAAAGGATGTGCCAATTTATGTGCAAAAAGCATTTTTTGTGAAGCTTTGTGAAATACTCTGCTACATTGTGTGTTAACCATATAGTTGCAACTGTCCTCACTGGAAAATCGCGGAGTCAAAACGCATGATTGGAAATAAACATTACATTTGCGCAGAGAAACAAATTCACCTAAATTGTGGAGTCATGTTTGGAAATAGTCAATTATAAGATAAAAACTCAATTATTTCTAGTTATACGAATAACTTTCTCATAATTTCTTTCTAAACTGAAAGTTGTCAAACCTCATTTTTCTGTCCTTAAACTTGTTTCATTCCAATTTAATGATGACTTTCATGGCCAAAAAAACTTTACCAACATTCAGAGACTGAGAGATATTGAGAGGGGGTGGATATAATGTGCTGTAGAAATTAGGATGTATAATAATAAATATAAACATATGATTTGCCAGCTGGGAATTGTCACCTATATTTTATTGTAGGTGGTGTCTCAGATTCATGTTTCATTTCGTCAGTGGTCTCAAGGTGCTGTCTTCAAATTTAAACTTTCATGATATTATATAAAATTTGGAATATATGAAATATTGTAAGTAATTTATGATATCAATCTTTTGGAGATTTCAATTACAACTAGACAATTAAAAGTAATATTGATGCTTGCAGAACAAGGCTTGCTTAGAGTTTTATATTGTGATAAATTACATACAAGATCGACTACTTTCACAAATGAAAGAAGGGGGAGAGAGGAACGTTCATGAATGTAGCAGCCCTAGGAGATGGGAAACACTCACTATCAGGAAAATGTTTTCATTTTGCAAGAGTTTTTAAGGGCAATTAGGTACTGTACATAGAGTTAGGTTTGGGTTATGCTTGTAATTATATATATACTTACTTTATATATGTTTAAAAGATAAGATAAAATGCTATACATACATACTTGTGTATTTAGACTAAAGAAAATTTACCATAATGAAGAGTTGTACTGTAATGTGCAAATCATGTTCAGGCAGGCTAGCCAGGTTATCAAGATGGATGGCAAGGCAAGGGAAGGGAATTCTGATTGGATATGAGAAAATTTCATCCTGTTTTCTTCATGACTTGGTTGTTTTGACGGGTTTTTTTTATTTAAACATATTTTATTCTCAACATTTTCTCCAAGAGCTAGGCTCATCGAGGGAGATCATGTTGACTTATTTAAAACATAGGAGTACAACGTGTTTAAATAAAAGGTACACAAACAAATAAAATAATTATAAAGAAAAAGAAGTATAGTTAAGCTCAGTGAAGAAATCTCAAAATCTAAAGATAAGTTATGTATTAATATTCAATTAAACTGGTAAATTGCTTAGTTTGAAGAATGAACAATTGACATCTCTTGGTAGGTTCATCCAGCAACTATAGCAGCCCAATAAGCGAGTGTTTAGATGAGACACTCTTCATCCTGGTGACCAAGATCTCAGCTGTTTCAAGTTAAATGTTGGAACCAGCACTGCTGCAAAATGTCCGGCAGTACCAACAGCACCACGGCCAGGGATTTTGAACAAAATACTTTCATAGGAAATTTTCCTACACCTTGCAGGAAATTTTTTGTCATCTTATATACTGGAATTCCATACGATTTATTTATTGTTTAAAAATTCCAAAAGTGTTCCGCAAGTCAATCACAATGTCTGGCACAATACATGTAGTGTCATGCACATTCTTTTAAATCTGCATACATGACTTACACAGAAAATTTTTATTTAATATATGTTAATGTAAATGCGAAGTAATTTTTCCATAAAAAAAAACACTGCACATTGAAACCTTGCTTGTGCTTCCACTAAACAAGCCAGTCTGAATGTAGTACACGTTCTACTAAACAGGAACATATTCCACTAAATAGGCCAGTCTTCATATAGTACACATTCCACTAAACAGACCAGTCTGAATGTACCGGTAGTACAAAAGGTCTTTATTTCTATGTTTCAACAAGAGTATTTCAACAATATTAAAACGTTTTTCTGGCTCTCAGAGAACATAAAGTAAAAAATCAATAGTGGTCCAACATATTGTATAATTATGTGAAGATAAAGGACTATGCCATCAGCTGATAAGTACTGTCATGTGAACGCAAAACGATTATATAAACTTTTGTCTATGGTGGTCTAGTTCTCTATAGGAGAAAAACAACAATTCCTACCACTAATGTGTAACTGGAGCCCAATTTGAGGTTGAAAAAACTATGGCCCACAGGGCTCTTAATAAACAGCTGGTTTGAAGAGTAATTTAGAAGATGAAATAGGATATTGTAGCTCAGGCCACTTGAGAGATACAGACAGCAGTCATATTATGTAGCACTTCAATCAACAAACTGCTTTCAAGTAGCTTGGATATACTAGAATCACAAAAACATGCGATATGGCACATTATTTGACTCCATAGAAACGTCGAAAAAAATGGAATCTCTTTTCACCAATAAAAAACTCGAACCATTGACTTCAATAAATCCATGAACATATCAAATAGATTATTAAAAACTTTTGATTTCAAATTTCCAATGCGCTTATAAATTTTTCATTAAAATTCAGCAACGCGTCAAAGAAGGTTTGGAACACAGATTAGAAGAAACCGATCCAGTTAATTGCTACATTGAATGTAACATGATGTAACATTCTGTTGGAATGTCTATTTCTTCAAAATCACACCGTTAATGCGAGCTCGGAATGTGGCCAAAATAGTGCTATTTTACAAATCAAACAAAAATTGATCAGGTTTCATAGGCGATTTGCCCCCAAAAGTGTGAAATATTTCAACATAAACAAAAGCGTCTGTCTCGATGTTAACCGGCAATATACAATAAAATTTAAAGTACATGATAGGTATGAATTCTATTCCTGATTATCTGTACAATTTCCTGTGAAAATAAGCGACTATCTAGGTCTAAAGAAACCGGAGTCTGAGTCTTTGCGGCAGCATTGTTCCGCACAGTACGAGATTTTTAAATTAGTTTGGGACAAGTTAGAAACAGTATTGCACTATCCAACCGCGAAGGAAAATACATAGTGACCTCGCTTGGAATTATTTACTCGCCTCTACTTTTCCCAATGAAAAAATAACAATCCTGCGGGCTTTTCGAGATAAGCAAGCAGGGAGCAACGCGAGTAATTCGAGAAATTTACAAGCGAAATATAATCATGCCTACATCACTTCGCTTCACACATAAACAACAACATCAACGCTTTTGAGCACAATAACACAGCTAAACTGACACATTTACGGGCTAAAACATCGACTTCTTTCATTCGCCAATCCTCAATAGGCCAATAATTCCATTACACGTAAAATATGGTCGCAATTTAAGACAAACATTCAGACAGATTTACGATAACGACCTCAGTTATAACCCCGTGAAATATACTTATAACGCTGTTCATATAGCACTGTATTTGAGAAATTAGAAGGCAATATATTTTCATACATACCCAAGCGACTACACGGCCATTAACACACGGTAACCCAGATTCATCGTCTGTTATTTCTTCTTTTACTACCCTAGATAAAAGACAGAATATACTGCGGTGTCTAACTTATGCCGAACAGATACAGTAGATTATGCTCTATAAATCTTGACATCTTAGACCCTTGCGATCGACCTGGTTTAAAGCGATACCAATTTGGTTTAAAACGGTTATGTTTTAAACTAGAATGAGCGGTAATTTTGTGGTTTATAGCAAAAAGCATCAGTGCAATAGATTTGAAAAATTGTACATATATACACACAGCGTATTGCGATTGTTGACAATAATTAATATCGAAACAACTCGCAACTATTTCATCGCCTAGAGGCGGTCAAAGACTGTCAATAGCCTCGCAATTCTAGCATTTTGCTTCAGCCAACGACGCCCGAAAGATCCTTAATTCCTCACACCGGCTGGCCCAAAATATTTGCGTTTCCGAAAGCCAAACGTTTCATAAACAAAGCATCCTTTGGAATAGCGTTTATATACGACCTTACCCGAAATCATCGTCCATAGACTTGAAGAAAAACTTATAACTCGGCCGATTGAGGATATTTTTGAAATCTCCAAGAGTAACATCACTGGGTCCTTTTGATATTTTCACTAAATACGGCGTTTCTTCGTCGTCTATATGATAAATAATCTTCGTTTCGTCCGCCATGGTCGAAACTTCAGCTCAAGAAAAATAGCCTGATGATGACCTTAGGAGAGCGAAATGCCGCACGCTCATTGGCTAACGTCGTCACGTGGCTCCTTAATTGATCATTCGGTATGTTGCAGCCAGAAATGTCAAGATTATTTGCTTTCTTTTATTTCGGGGCCCTTTCGGCCTTTCTAAAATTGACAAACCACAAACCAACAAAGTAAATCTTTCATATACGTGTAATTATAGCCGGGAACGTTAATGCTAACAACGGATTAATGTGCTATTTTTAGGTTTTGCGCAGCGAGAAAAGTTGGGCTGTTCAGTCCAATTCTCGCTTGTAGTCAAACGTTTTCTACGCGTCAACAATTTCGAAGTGGGCAAGTGAATGGGAACAGGTAATTAAAATGCGGAACAAAGCATTTGAGTGATATATTATTATATGAGTGACATTCGCGCGCATACATATTATCTATTATTATTGTGGTATGTTTTAATTTATTGGCAGCCTTCCCATGTTCTTGTTCAAGAGATTTCCATCAAAGTTTGTGACGACGCGTTTGTGTCGAATTTCGAAAATAGTACTTTGGCATGTTGGTTTTTCGGCTTTGAATATATTTCTTACTGTATTCAACACGGGTCAGGCGAGACAGTTGTTGGAAACGGCCGGTTAGCTTAACCCTAAGTTAACCTAAAATTCAAAGCAGATTTGTTTTTGAACTTAGAAATATTTCTTTAGAAATATTGTCTAGATCAATAGGAGTTTTTTTTTTTCTGAAGATTTGAAATAAACAACGGACGACACAAACTAAAACAGCGCTTAAATTTTAACCCAGGATTTTCGCTAACCATCTTTTGACCCCAGTTCAATTTTGTTACAAAAGACACTAAACAGTTACAAATCAGTATTCAGTAAAGATTTTATGAAATTCTGCTATGAAAGTCTACATTCCGGTAAATGATTTTACTGTAACATAAAACGAACGCCCAAATAATGTGTACATAAATATAATTATTACAGTGATTATTTCATAAGTTGCAATATACGGCAATCTGATATATTTCAGCTTTATTTGTGTTCAAATGTGATCCAAATTGTAATAAATTGTTTCTGTCAAATGAAAATGCGATATTATATTTCAACAAACATGTGTATTTTTAACGAGGTACCAATTAACGTCCCATTATGAGAGAGCGTTGTCTCAGTCAACTCATTAGCCGGTAATTAGAACGATTTGAAAAGAAACTTGACGGAAAGGCAGGATTAAAATATTGGATGGAACGCTAAGAACTAATTGGATACATGAAAATGATATTTGAGGCTAGGATAAAGGTTTGTTTATCGAAGTTTCTGTGATCACAGTAGGAATTTTGCATGGGTAAATTCTAAGTTTTGAAGGATTTGTAACTTGAATGTTTGAGGGAACTGGCTAATTGGTCAAGCAAGGACGAGAGTTCAGAAGCGAGAGTTTGCATGAGAGTTTTCTCAACTCTCATGCCCCGGTCAAACGAGCTAGAACAAGAGTTGCATGAGAGTTGACTTGATATTTATACCGCACCTGATACCGCATTTATACCGCGCGCGTAGAGATAAAGAGTCCCGAAGAGTTGGCGGTCACACGAGCGAGAGTTCTCAAAATCATCCTCGTTTCAGTGCGAGGCTTCACGGCATAATTCGTCGAATCATCAAGATTTGTTCCCAGAGCTATTGCAAGCATATATGTTGCATAGATGCCATGGCGAAATCTTAGCCAAGTTTGTATCTTAGACTTTAACCCTGAGCGAAACATTGGGATATAACCAAAATCATTTCCAGAGCACTAAGGCTAAACGAACTGTATTTGTCTTCAAAAACCGCCATCGACGCAAGCTATTTTTGTCATGCTGCTGTCGTGACGCGCACTTTTCACTCACTTCGTTCGTTTTCACGTATTTCTGAAACAACGCGTGAGCTTGCTATCCAATCATTAATTCATGGACTAACAGTGCCGTTCTATGTTGACGCGCGAAGAATAATATTTCGACTCGTATTTCAAATCCTTGCACTTCATTTCAGTCAAATCTTCTTAATTCATTTCTAGCCGAACATCCCTTGGAAACGATTACATACGTAATTACTGAACTGGCAATTAAATGCAAGTGGAGTACAAGTAGAGAAGCCGCATTATATTCGTGAGAAGGTTGAGAAAAGCCTTATTACTTACGGTTAAGAATAGGATTGTTGATTGGGGTAAAATTGAAAGAGAAATATATTTTTTTGGGCAAAACACGAAGATGTTTAGACTAAGATTTTTTCATTCATAAAATGATTTACGTCTGATAGCCTGAACACTTCAAGTGACTATGCCTGTAACACTGCTGTGAACGTACCCTAGCCCAGAGGTTCTTGTGCCGCATACGAGTGATAATATAGGGTGGAAGATACGAGAACCTCTGGCAACCAGGGTATTGTGGACGCAAACAACATTCACTAATGGTTGCATTCACGTATTAAAAAGACAATTAAAAAACAATTCTATTTTTGTTGGTGAAAGGATTTTGTGCAATTAGAAAGCTAACTGACCTCAGAGGAAGTCGTTAAATGTTGATGGACAGATTATCATACAAAGTTCGTTTTTCTAACATCAAAATAGGAGCCTAAAACGGATCCTTGTCCGAAAATAATCTTCACTTATATTGTTGAAAAGTCTTAAGCACATCTAAAATCCTCGTATCAAAATAAACCCATCCCAAAGCACATGCTTAATGTACTTCACTGATGATACACGGAAAGGGTTTGATACGTCACAGTGACGTCATCCTAGATCATGGTAGGTATACACTGTGCCAGCTGTTCACAAGTTGTCACCAAGTTGTCTTCGCACTGTTTGTTCCCAGTTGTTGTAACAAGTTTGGAACAAGCTGTTAACAACTTGTAACAAGCTTGATGGCATTATCATGCAGACTTGTCACAAGGTTGTTCTAACAAGTCTGACACAGTCATGATGAACAAGAATGTTACGGTACGTTGACGACACAAGGTTGTAACAATATTGTTATATCATGACTGTGTCGGACTTGTTGGAACAACCTTGTAACAAGTCTGATAATATCAACAAGGTTGTTACAAATTGTTAACAGCTTGTTCCAAACACAACTTGGGACAAGCAGTGCGAACACACCTTGTTGGCAGACTTGGCTACAAAATGTGATCTTTACGTACGCGCGTACACACGTAAAAACGCACAAGTTGTTACAGGTCTGCAAACAAGTTGTTACAAATCTGTTCACAAGCTGTCGACAAGTTGTGTTCGCACTGCTTGTTCCCAGTTGTTGTAACAAGCTGTTAACAACTTGTAACAAACTTGATGGCATCATCAGACTTGTTACAAGGTTGTTCTAACAAGTCTGATACAGTCATGATATAACAAGAATGTTATTGTTACAAGGTTGACCACACAATGTTGTAACAATACTGCTATATCACGACTGTATTGGACTTGTTGGAACAACCTTGTAACAAGTCTGATACTAATATCAACAAGGTTGTTACAAGTTGTTAACAGCTTGTTCCAAACTTGTTGACAACTTGGGACAAGCAGTGCGAACACAACTTGTTGACGGTTGTTGGCAGACTTGCTACAAGATGTGAGATTTTTACGTGTGTAGTCAAGGCTTTTATATAAACCGGCTCTTGTTTACGTGAAAAGTGCATGCTACATATATGCTTTCGAACCTGATTTGCATAACCTGCATGCTTCTTGTAAACATATATATTAGTATAGACGCATCTTTGACAGGTGCCATTTTTATATCGGACTCTGATAATAAGAAGAGGTACTACTACACTCTCTAAATATCGAAATCCCGAGCGCAAGCTGGTCTTTATATAAAGATTGCTCAATCATGGTAGTACTGGAGTTAGTCTTTGCAGCCACCTTCATGGCGACTTTCCTTGGAGTGCAACAGTGGTTTATTAAGAAGAATTTCTTCGGCAGACATCATGTTGAGAAACACGAAGAGGTCTACATTGTTCCTGGCGGATACTATGTACGTCAGTACTGAAAATACTACTTGAACTTATAAAGAAGATTAAAAACAAAGAAGTTTTGTACATTTTTCAAGGTTATTCAAATAAATGATAACTATTTATATCATGGTGAAAGAAAACGTCGTTAACTTTCTAAAGAGTAAATGTTTGTATATGTCATGTAAGTAATCTTATATATACAAGACATACAAACGACGCAGTGGAAAAACAGAATGAGGTTTTGTACATTTTATACGGTAATAATACGAGAAAACTTTAAGTTTTGAAATATTATATATGTAACATGGTATGTAATGTATGTATGCTTTAACAGTCAATATTATACATATATATATATATAATAGGGTATGTAACGTTTTTATGTATTATAAACAACAAAACATAAAATGTTGTATTTTTGATACTGGTGCGTTTTTTTGCGACTCTACCTGGATAAAAGCTATACTTCCATACAGTAGAGATAAACTTCGCAGATATTCCTTAATTTTCAGAAGAAATTTTAACTATAGATTCTCAGTATATTATTTTAACTATACTAGATTCTCAGTATATTCCGTCGATTAATGTTTGTATTCAGTTACTTATAGTTTCTATGTATCTAAATGCATGGTTTAAAACGCTGTGTATTGAGCAATATATACTTAAATTTCGTAATGACTAATGACAATATTATAAGTATGTTAGTTTAAATTATGGAAAACACTCTAGTAGTTTAATTAAACATGAAAAACAAAAGCCTATATATAAAAACATATTTATATATTTGTTTCAATTTCAAGGTTTATATTATCGTGATAAAGTCTTTCGAGATGCTGACGACTACACTAAATACTTAAATTAAGCTAGAATACCTTTTTTTAAACTTTAAACAAAATACAAATTTGATATATGCAACTACATCTATAGGGCCTACCTATTTTGTTGCATATTTTTCATTTAAATTATTTTTAATGAATCTGTATATAAACAATTTCAAGACTGTTCTCCGTCCTTGAATACTTGAATTGTAAATAGCGAAGCCTGTGCTACCTTTTCCGTAAGGTATAAAAACTTTAACTATATTAGCTTACCATCGGTTGTTCGGCAAAAGCCGGTTAACTTAACCCTGGGTTGATGTGAAATTCAAAGCATACTTCCCGTCACCTTGTTTATAAACTTGGAAATATTTTTTCAGAAATCTTGTCTGGATCGTCAGAAGTTTAATTTTCTAAAGTCATTTTGAAATAAACAGACGTACACATATACATAAACCAAAGCAATGGGTTAAATTTAACCCAGGGTTATCGCTATTCGTGCTTTCAACAACCGGGTCCTGATCTAACTACAATAAACAAATTAAAATGACGACAACAATTAATCCCATGCCTATACTTTCCTTGGTAGAGATGCCAGCCCATTGTTCCAAGTTACCTTTCTTTGTACAAGATAAAATTAGACTTATTCTTTTTTGGTAAAGAAACTTGGGGCCAGTAATACTGGCTTTGCTTTCGTTCCTGTCGAGGTTCCTGCGTTGTTTTTGATCGATGTCCTATCATTCTTTGAAGGTTCATTTGTATTCGGTTTTGTTGTTGTTGAAGTGTCTTTCTCTTCAGGCTTGACTGTTTCTTGGGTATTCGTTGGTTCCTGGGTTTCTTGGGTCTTGGTTGGTTCCTGGGTTTGGGTCTTGGTTGGTTCCTGGGTTTCTTGGGTCTTGGTTGGTTCCTGGGTTTGGGTCTTGGTTGGTTCCTGGGTTTCTTGGGTCTTCGTTGGTTCCTGCGTTTCAGGTTTCGTTGGCTCCTGGGTTCCGGGTTTCGTTGGTTCCTGGGTTTGGGTCTTGGTTGGTTCCTGGGCTTGGGTCTTGGTTGGTTCCTGGGCTTGGGGTTTCGTTGGTTCCTGGGTTTGGGTCTTGGTTGGTTCCTGGGTTTGGGTCTTGGTTGGTTCCTGGGTTTGGGTCTTGGTTGGTTCCTGGGCTTGGGTCTTGGTTGGTTCCCGAGTTTGGGGTTTCGTTGGTTCCTGGGTTTCGGGTTTGTTTGCTTCCTTGGTATCTGTGCCTTTAGATGTTTTAGCTGGCGAGGTATTTACTACCTCATTCTTCTTGAGCGACACCTAGATTACGATACGATACTTAATCTCAATGAGAACTTTTAACTAGATAGACTTGAAGCGGCCATATTAGAATCAGTGACACCGCCATAATTTTTTTTTTTTGGGGGGGGGTGGGGGGTAGGGGCAACTTAATGACTAGTGACGTCACAATTCTAGGGGACCGGGGTATGTTTCCACGGAGAAATATTGAATTTTGGGTCTCTGTAACGAACATTTCCTGTATTGCGGAGGCACTTGGAGAATAATGTAACGGTCTGCATAAATCAATTTTTAACGGTGTGAATGCAATGTGTTCAATTCGTCGGAATTGAACGAATCTAAAACTACACTCATTGGGTGCCCCCCACCCCCTCAATACGCGGACATTTGACCGCATTGTTCCCTATACCGAACTCTACTGTAGGCGAAACTATTCTCGTGTCCAGGACCTGCAGTCAGCACAGCGCGGTGTTGACCGAGCGTGAGACGGGCTCTGGGTACGAGAAAGGAGCACGAAGATACTACCAGATGCACTATCCAGCCATAGTATTGCGATCAGTGTACAAACCTGGAGTGGTATAAAGAGATTTGGTTTGTGAACACTCGAAGGATCTATCTTGGTCTTGTTTGTACTTTCCGCACATGACGAACGTTTGCTTGACTCAGACGTGGTTTGGGTCTTGGTTGGTTCCTGGGTTTCCGGTTTCGTTGTTTCCTGGGTTTCGGGTTTGTTTGCTTCCTTGGTATCTGTGCCTTTAGATGTTTTAGTTGGCGAGGTATTTACTACCTCATTCTTCTTGAGCGACACCTAGATTACGATAGGATACTTAATCTCGATGAGAACTTTTAAGTATATAGACTTGAAGCGACCATAGTTGAATCAGTGACACCGCCATAATTTTTGAGGCGTGGGGGTAAGGGCAACTTAATCACTAGTGACGTGACAATTCTAGGGAAGCGGGGGTATGCTTCCCCGGAAAAATATTGAACTTTGGGTCTCTGCTGTAACGAAAATTTCCTGTATTGCGGAGGCACTTGGAGAATAACATTATTCTCCAAGTGCCTCCGCAATACAGGAAATGTTCGTTACAGAGACCCAAAATTCAATATCTGCATAAATCAATTTTTAACGGTGTCAATGCAATGTATTCAATTCGTCGGAATTGAACGAATCTAAAACTACACTCATTGGGTGCCCCCCCTCAATACGCGGACATTTGACCGCATTGTTCCCTATACCTAACTCCACTGTAGGCGAAACTATTCTCGTGTCCAGGACGTGCAGTCAGTGCAGCGCGGTGTTGACCGAGCGTGAGACGGGCTCTGGGTACGAGAAAGGAGCACGAAGATACTACCAGATGCACTATCCAGCCATAGCATTGCGATCAGTGTACAAACCTGGAGTGGTATAAAGAGATTTTGTTTGTGAACACTCGACGAATCTGTCTTGGTCTTGTTTGTACTTTCCGCACATGACGAACGTTTGCTTGACTCAAACGTCTTGTCTTGGGAACCTGGGGTTGATTTGAAGGTACCCTCTTTTTTCTTGGAGGTGTCGTGGCGTGGAGCGGAGTTGCTGTGGTGTGGGGGGTGTGTGGGTGAGAGGGAGAATAGAGGGATGTTGGGTGATGGTGGGAATGCAAAAGGAGAAATCGTGCCGTTACTTTGCATTGGAAAAGCGTGGGAAAAGAACGCCTGGAAAAGAAAAACTGCCATATAAAAAGAACAGTTTAAAGATGATGTCCACTCCTGTGCACATGCGCGAACTTTGTTTATGTTTTGAACTGCTGTATTTGTAAAATATGATATACTAACTGAATATCTAAATCTTTTCTGGTTCGCTATACTTGTAAATGAATATAAACTGTACGTTTCAATTCAAAAAAGTTCGAAAGATGCAAATTTTGGGCAATGTTTATTTATATCTGGGGGTCTCCCTTTGTTATGAGCAGAACTGATGCGCAGAACGGAGTGGACATCATCTTTAAGCCTGGAGCAAATCTGTCGGAGATTTTTCTCCTGCTGGCAAATGTGATCGAACGAATGACATGGAAAAGAATTGTTTACTTCTGCAAGGCGACTCTATACTTTTGCGTGCGAGTTCAATCATTTGCATCCGTCAGAAAAACAAAATCGCCGACAAAATTGCTGGTGTGAACCCGGCTTTAAACCAGGTTTCCATATGTCGTAACGGTCGTAAAGATAGAGATATTGTTCTAGTTTACAGAAGCATTTATTTTGTAAACAATTCCAAAGCTTGGTTACCTTTGTTCTATTGTATGCTTCTGTAAAGCCGGTTACAGACGAGCAAGTTTTCTGTGACAAGTTTTATTTGCTCGTCTGTACGCGCAACTTTGACAAGTTTTTCTATGACAAGTGCACTTGTTCAACTGAAAAAGCTAGCATGCTAGAAATTGTCAAAGTACGAATTTTGTTCGTCTGTATGGGTCAACAAAGAAAACTTGTCAAAGTAATCTGAGCATTTGATGTGATTGGCCAGCGGACTATTATAATTTTTCTGTCGTGGTTTGTCATGGTGGCGATTAACACCATTTTCTGACACGTTCACACCAGTAAATAAAACTTGTCGTATGAAAACTTGTCATATAAAATTTGTTGCATATACACACGTTGCACTTGGCAAATAAAACTTGTCACATAAGAAACTAGTTCTTTGAATGTTTGCATGGCGATAAAATATAATTGTTTTTGTTTAAATATAATTAAAATAAAAAAAAATATAAAATATAATAAAATAAAATATAAAATATAATAAAATATAATAAAAAATAATATAAAATAATATAAATAATAATATAAATAATATAATATAAAATATAATTTTTTTGTTTAAATATAATTGTTTTTGTTTTTTGTTTTTTGTTTTTTGTTTTTTTTTTATAATTGTTTTTTGTTTTTGTTTTTGTTTTTTTATTTTTTTTTGTTTTTGTTTATTGTTTTTGCAGTAATAAATTTACGTGGTGTTTCCACAAACAAAAACAATTTTAATAGAAACTAGGCATGTGAGTTATGTAAAATTGTGAACTGGGTATAAACAATAATGGTAGAGTCACAACTGGAAACATTCGTCCCATGTGAGATTGACACAGATTTATAATCAGATGTTTGCAACATAGTACATGATCGAACCCCAATCACAAAGGCGAATTGCACATGCACACAATTAAAAAC